AAAACACTGAAGGATGCGGGGCAGAGATCAGTTAAAGAAAGCTTATCAAGCCTATAATTTTTCTCAATCTCAGCAAGTAAATCTGAATGAACTAGATTCACATACGAGGAAAATCCAATCGAAACCAAGGAGACAATATTTACTTTTAGCTATAGAATTAGGAAAATAGACTTACCAATCACTTGAAGCGCCTCCTATATTCAAGTTACCACCCTCTCCTGAAGTGCTTGCTCCTTTTGCCCAATCTACCGAACGAGAAAGATAAAAGGTTACAAGGAATAAAATGTTTAATCACACAAGGACAGGGATGGATTATTATATCTTGAAACCCAGCATGCTATGTACTCGCAGTCAAATTGAAAGTAAATCTGAACGTCCACAAGAAACACCAACCTCCACTGCTGACTTCTGCTCCACGCATGTCAAAAGATTGAAAGGAACTAGTCCCAGCATCCGCACTTTAGAGCAATAGACGGCGTGTCAGAGACGTTGGCATTTGATAGAATGGGAAATGAATATATAAGAAGAGTCTGAGCAAAGTATTCTATAAGATTCATGGGAACGTACCTTGTACTTAAGAAAGTATTTCTGTCGCGAACCTCGGCAAGATGCTCACTTTTAACTGAAGTGCATCATTAAAAATATTCAGAAGCACATCAGAACAGTACTGAATCGAAGGTGTGAATGCGCGAAAACAAACCTGTTAAAATTTTATGCTGGGAATCAAGCTTAACGGTAACATCAGAATAGCGTAAAGCTATAACACGGCAGAGATACCCCTTCAATGGACCCACACGTATTCTCAATTTTTGGCCTATAGAATACATGCTACCTTTGTCTCCTTGGTTGGCTGCATTTGATAAATCATTCGTAAGTAGCCTAAGAGGATAAATAGAAGCTAGGTTATAATAACCCTTATTCATGAGACATACAGTTAATGTATTTTTCCTTGGGCTGCCACTCTTTTTCAGGAGAAAGAGGCGATTTTGGGGAGGATGCAATATCCCCAAAAGCTGAAGCATCAAATCCATCAGTCTGAAAAAAAAACAGAATGTCATCAGACCACGAAATTCTGTCAATTGTATCAAAAGATAGCTGCAGGGACTGGACAATATTACCTTTTCATTAGATTCGTCAGTAAAGAGTTTAATTTTCTCACACGCTTGTGACTTGCAGCAGAAATATCCACCATTATCTTCCTCATTCTCCGCATAAAGAAATATGATCCCTCTGTATACTTGCCTTACAACTCCTTGTTTACCCTGAATTTATAATTGATGCATCAGAAGTAAGAAGCCACAATTTCTTTCATCTGATAATGTCAAAGAAAAGGGCAACAGAAACAAACAAGTATAATAAATTATAAATCATACCTCAGATGGGCCTTTGGAAATCTTCACAACATCACCGATTGATATCTGTTTGTTATTCATATCCAGGGCAGAAAATTTTGACTCGAACGGACCATTCTGCATTTCCTTTTTTCCAACACTGACTACAACGGGTCCATCAGAACCTTCTTTCAGAACCTGGGATATTGTGCAACTCATCAGAGACAGACCATAGGGTAATATGAGATGTTGAATAACTAACTACATACCCTGTAGCCGTCACCTTTGTCATCCACGCCCACAATCAGACCGAAGTCTTTTCGACTACAAAGGGAAAGTGATGAAGTACTCAGCATATGAAATTACAACAACGACTCACAAAGAACCTTCTCCTTTTCAACATATGAAATTATGGACGATTCCATACCTGAAACAAACTAGATTATACAACTCATAGCTACTTTCTGACTTAGATTCTGATGAACCTTCTCCTTTTCCACACTCTGATCCTTCTCCTTTCCCCCTCACACTGCCAGTTGGAATAATCTTTTTCTTCTTTTCTTCGCCATAAATTTCAGAAATCCACTCCACATCACCAGGTTCTTTTTGTTCTACAGGCCTAAATTTTAGTATCTCCTCCTTTGATGGAATAACCCCCCAGGATAATGAATCTAAGGATAATTTTTTATATAGAAACCCATCTTTCAGCATCAGGCTATCAAGATGCTCAAAAGTTATTCCAGTATCCCGATCACGCTTCACTTTAATGATAGGTCTAAACTCCCTGTGACAAAAGAGGGGAGAAGATATATTAGAAACTTGGTAACTGTTTTCCAAACGAGAAGAAAAGATCAAGTTTTTTTACTCAAGCTCGCTTGAACTGATCAATCTTGGAGCTGGATTCAGGCCTTTTTGGACAGCAACTCCTCCACCCTACACAGAAAAAACAATGATAAGCTAAAGAACAAATGTAGAACACAAAAAAAAACAGTGGTATACTTTGGGGGCATAGACAAATAAATGAGCGTGAAGATAGGGTACTTACATATTTTTGGGTCAGTGCCGCCACATCAATCCTTGGAATTAACTTTATTAATGCTTTTCCCCGCGTGTCATTGACAGCCACAACCTAAAAGGAAATAGAGCATAACAGCTTTAGTAGCCTAAGGAAGACAGCAAGCTGCAAAGGAAACATATAAAGCAAAAGAAATTGTACCTGAGCAAGATCTCCTTTGTATTTACCACTCTTAAAACGAGCCCATGTTCCCTCGGCAAACTTTTTAGTTTTTCTTTGGACAGTAAGTAGATGTGGAGCTTCAGCTTTAGGAACTAACGTCATCCGAGTAGCATAGATACCATGTAAGCTCTTGCATGCCTAGGAAAAAGGTAAATCAGAATATCATACACGTTACGATTATCCCCAAGCAACATCTTCCAATCTACTGTCACAAAGGTACAGCAACATCTTCCAACATAGTAATTTTAAATGTTTAGTACCTCAAGCACATCTTGTTCCTTGTCAGCTTCTATGAAGATAAAACCCTTGACGTGCTCCACAGCAAACACAGACAAGATATGTAGTTTGGTGGCTATCTTTCGCAGCTCGACAAATTTGTGCATGAGACAGAAAACCGAATGCTTTTCCCGTCCAATCTACAAGCATAAATCACATGAACTCAGCAGAAGTAAGAACATACTGGGTTAAAGCACAAGCAGAGCCCTTAGTTTTACATACCGCACACTTTACTTTCCATAGTGGAGGATCCTTGGCAGTTGGAACAAGAGCATCCATCTCAATGGAAGTTTTCACATCATCGTCTGCATATCTAACAAACCCGGAACCAGGTTTGTATCTTTCTTCCATGATTCTATCATATTCTTCCTCGTTTAGCTCCTCTTCCTTAGGAAAAACAAAGAAAGAGTTTCCCTTTTCTCCTTTGTTATCCTTACCATTTGCTTCGACATCGGGTTCATCTTCCATATCTGTTTCAAATGAGTAGTTAGGGAAAGAGGAGAAATTTTTGAAATTTTCAGGCTTTAAGTGTGCAGAGGCCTTAAAAACTGGAGAAAACAGCTCGAAACGCAAACGAGAACATAGCTCAAACACAAACCCTAGTCTCGGAAATTAGTCATTCCACAGATGGCTTAACGATGATGTACATTTTACAAGGTAGAAACAGACACAAATAATCAGATGTCAAAAATCGGACCCCTAAGAGAAGACGAAACGTACAAAGTACAATCACGAAGCAATGAACGCATGCAAGAAGAAAATCAACGAAACCAGAGAAAAGAAATTAGAAATTACCGTTAAGGAAATCACCAACATCGCAATCTTCGTCGGAGCTCCCTCCATAGTAACCAACCTCGGCGGATTCCTCGAAGAACTGAAGGACCCCGGGGTTTTTCCGCTTACTAATCCTCAAGCCTTCGTCTCTGAACTCGACTCCTCCTTTCCGTTTCCTTCCGCCGGAAGACGATTCAGTTCCGGCGACCTGTTTTCCCTTTCCCTTATAATCCATCTTCTTCGCGGTGGGTTTAGGGCTTTTCACAATTTCATTATTTTCCTGAGAGAGAGACAGAGAGAGTGAAGAAGAAAGCGATTCGTTTGAGCGTGAGATGTGATTGTATCGACCTTTGACTGTGTTTCTTTTTTACTCTTTTAGGCCTTTTGGACTGTGTTAATTGTTCAAACTTCTCGGCCTCATGATTTTCTCGTGGGAACTTTTCATGAAGACTAATTATTCTTTTGCCCTCTGATTAGTCTATATTTATGGTTTTACTCTCCGGGTGATCTGTATTCACAGTTTTACCCTCTGACTGCTCCATATTTATGCTTTTAACCTCGGATTGTTCTGCGATTGTAGTTTTGCCATCAGTTGATTCACATTTAAGCTTGTTCCTACACTACGTTTTTGCCCAAATGTTACTAACAAATATATTGAACTGGATCAAATTTAAGATAAACCTGCTAATACTTCGACAATCAATAACTAAAAAGGCCAATTACGTGTGCAAGGTTTAACTCAACGTAAAACTCGAAGCTCTCATGTAGCAAAACAAACCAAAAAAAAGAAATACATATCAAGATACAGAGCTAAACAGTTATCCAAACTAATAGTAAAATAAGTCTTTTACACCTAAATAACGCTTACAGAGATATTCATTGCCACATACACACACAAGAGCGAGTGTATATAACCCTCAAATCATGCCTTAGTAACGGTCAAAAGTAGAGGACGACGGATAACCACCACCACCACCACCACTGCTTCGGCTCGGCCTCTCATAAGGACCACCGGCTCTACTTCTAAACCCTCTTCCTTCGTCTCCTCCACGTATAGGCCCACCAGCTCTACCACCACCATACCTGTCACTGCCTGCACTTGGGACTACGTCTCTCTCAAATGACCGGGCTTTGTCATAACTTGCTGGAGGATAACGGTCTGATCCACGGCTGTATCTTTCACCGCCTGCAAACCGATCAACCGGCGCTGCATACCTGTAAAACAATATATCAGAGTCGGATTCTCGCGTCATGCAATAAAAGCAAGTCAATTTGAAAAGAAGAAGAAAAAAATATATATATATAAACCTGTCACTGGCATATCGATCACGGGGGATGTAGGCTTCTCTGCTGTCAAACCTGTCTCTAGCACCAAAGCGTGGAGCACCATCATATCGATCATCCATGTAACGTCACGGTCG